AAACATTCTTATTACTTAAAGTTCACACTGTTCATTTTCCTTTATTTTCACCCAATGTCCTCTTTCTGTTCCAGGATCTCATCAGGACACACTATTTTTAGTCACCAAGTGTCCTTGGGCTCCTCAGGCCTGTGACAATTTCTCGGACGTTTTTGATGACTTCACAGTTTTGAGGAGGGCGGGTCTGGTATACCCTCAGCTGGAATTTGTCTTGATATTTTCCTCTTGAGCAGACTGGCCTTATGTGTTCTGGGACAAGGACCATAGAAGTAAAGTCTTCTTACCATACGATGCCAAGAGTGCATACCACCAACACAGCTTATCACTGCTGACACTGACCTTGATCATCCGGCTGATGCCTAGTGCATTTTTTATTACAATATAAGTAACACACCATTTAGGTAACCGGCTTCCCAGATGGCAGTTGTGGTAAAGAACCCGCCTACCAATGCAGGAGACATAAGAGACACAGGTTCAATCCCTGGGTTGGGAAGATCGATCCCTGTAGACAGGCATGGCAACCCACTCCAATATTCTTCCCTGGAGAATCCCATGGTCAGAGCAGCCTGGTGGGCTATAGTCCATGGGGTTGCAAGGAGTTGGACACAACTTAGGCAACTTAGCACACATGCATGCATGTAAAGGAACACTGAAATCAGTAACTATTTAAGAGCTGAGCATCTTAGCTGCAACCTCTTAATCACCCCTTTTAATGGCTCTCTGAAGCATAGGTACTATTCCTCCTATTTCACAGATGAATAAAAAGGAAGAACTTTTCCACAACACACACACACACACACACACACACACACACAATTGTGCTAAAAATATTTAAAACTGACAATTTTCATCTGCTTGGTTCTGTGACATTAACTACAATTCATGCTGTCATGCAACCACCACCATCTCCAGAACTTTTAATCTTCCCAGTACTGTACATGCTTTACCCTTGATGAACATCACCCATCTTTCAGAGGTTCAAATGGTTCCACTTTGTCAGGCCCACCTTGAACATTCCTGCAGCCAAATGTGACCAGCTTTTTCCTCTGGGTGGAGAGTAATTAATATTGGTGCTTCCAGCTTGTCTTCATCTTTACTTTTTTTGGTAGCTTTACGGAGATATACTTGACAAAATTTTAAGATATTAAAGTGTACACTGTGATTATCTGTATGTATTGGATCCCCAGTAGTGCTAAAGGCAAAGTATCTGCCCGCCAGTGCAGGAGACAGAAGGGATGTGGGTTCAATCCCTGGGTTGGCAAGATCCCCTGGAGGAGGAAATGGCAACCCCCTCCCTTATTCTTGCCTAGACAACTTCATGGACTGGGGAGCCTGACAGGCTACAGTCCATGGGGTTGAAAAAGAGTTGGACATGACTGAGGAACTGAGCACAGTTTGTGCACACTGTGATTATCTGATATGTGTGTGTGCTGAAGTCTTTACTTCCTGTTGCTCTGAAGTGAGTGCATGCTGGATGCCAACCCCAAGGCTGGGTTCGGCTGCCCACTGTGACATGGTGCCACCACCCCGCTCTGAGGCAGAGAACACATTTCCCAGGACCTTCTTCCCTGGGGAGTTCTGGTTTAGAGGCTGCAAAAGAGAAACACGCACCAAGCTCTGTTGTCTCAGCTTCCTTCCTGGGCACCAGACAGTAAGAAGTCCTGGGATGGGGTTGGGGGCAGGCCATCAACTGCCCACGTCCTGGGCCACATGCTGTCATGTCTCCTTGGTTTCCTGACTCTCTGCCCACGTTCCATCCGGTGGAGGGGTTTTCATGTCCATGCCATTGTGGGATGCTACAGCGTGTCAGATGGGCTGAGAATATTGGGAAAAGTCCCATCCAAAGAGCTACCAGTTATATTACATTCTTGATTTAATGAAGATAAATGTTTATCACAAGCAGGTGACCACACAAGACAGTGGTTGATAAAACTTATTTCAGAGCAGCTTCCCTGGGCCTCCAGACATCTCAGAGGGATGGAGACCATGGGGTGCGGTCTCACCAGACCTGGGAAGTTTGACCCTTGACTTGACTCTGCCCTTTCCAAACTGGGGCCCGCATGGACAGTCTGTGAGAATATATGCTGGCAATCAACACCCTGCACTTTAACCCAACACCTTCAAATGTTGGACTCTTTGTGTCTCAGAGCCAAACTTCTGGTAAGGCCACATCCTTATCCAAGGAGTACAGCAGAGCAAGGACCCCAAGTTGCTGTACGATGCCTCTGCTTTCCCAAAGCCGTTTCTTCACATCTAAGCAGGTCCCTGTTCATTTCCACCATAGTGCTCACCACTAGTCTTAACTACATGCTTATTTCCTTACTTACATGTGTATTGTTGACCTTCCCACAAGACTGCAGTAGACCAAACCATGGTCCCCCTGTCACTGAACATGGATAGTACACACCTGGCAGGTAAGTGTTCAATAGACATTCTCCTAACAGATGAATGAGTAAAGGAGATTCCACCAATTCCAAATGTTCTGACACAGTTGCAGCCTGGGTGCCCATGAAGGAAGACAGGGAGTCACACCTAAAGCACGAGCAACAAGATAAAAACAAACAAGTGGGACATCAAACTAAAAAACTTCTGCATAGTCAAAAAAAGAAAAATCATCAACAAAGGAAGATGATCTACTGAATGGGAGAACATATTTGTAAGTCATGTACCTGATAAAGGGCTGGTCTCCAAAATATACAATGAACTCCTACAACATAGCAGCAGCAGAACAAACCCAGTGAAAGGGTAAAAGATTTAACTTAAACAGACATTTCTCTAAAGGGGACATACAGATGGCCAACAGGTATACGAAGTAATGTTCAACATCACTAATCATCAGGGAAATGCAAACCTGAAGCCATAATGTGATATCACCAATACCTGTCAGGATGTTATTATCAAAGAAACCAAAAGACAAGTGATGGTGAGAATGAGGTAAACTGGAGCCCTCATGTACTGCTGGTGGGAATGCAAAATGGTACAGCTACAGCAGAAAACAGCACAGAGGTTCCTCAAGAAATTAAAAAATATGACCACCACACAATGCAGCAATCCAACTTCTGGGTATCAATCCAAAAGAACTGAAATCAGGATCTTATAGACACATGAGCACTCCCATGTTCACTAGAGCACTTTTTGTAACAGCCGATATATAGCGACAAACACTGACAGATGAATGGATTAAAAAAGTGTGGTCCATACATACAATGAAGTAAATACTGCTCAGCCTTAAAAAACATAAATGACCCTTGAGAGAATTATGCTAAGTGAAACAACCTAGTCACAGAAAGCCAAATAGATTTTCCTCCTACATAAAAGTATCTAAAATAGTCTAATCATAGAGTCAAACAGTGGAATGGTGGTTGCCAGGGACTGGTGGTCAGGAGGGATGGGGAAATTAATATCAATAGGTCTGAAGTTCCAGGAGGAGGAGGAGTCAGGAAAGAGGACTGAGAAAACCCAGAGAGAAGTCCTACTGACTCTAAGGAGAAGCTTCAAAGGAGGTGATTCTGCCCTCAAGAAGTCAAACAAGGGAAGAACCAAAGAGACACCACTGTGTTTGGTAGAGCATGAGCGAAGATGACCTCTATGAGACATTTTTGGAGAGATACCAGAGAAAGCCACGTATTGCCTGGGGAGAGTATGGGCAAGTCAGAAAACAGAGGCACCGAGTGCAGAGAATGTGTTCAACATCTGCTGACACACTGAAGGAACATCTCGATGCACTTTATGGCCTAACAGACTTTCCAGGTATTCTTCAGCAAAGATTTAGTAGGGATCGGTAATGTCTGCTTACTCCTAAAATAGACCAAAACTCACTGGACAGCAAGGCAAAAAGGAAACGGGAAAGTCATTAAATTTGTGAAAGATGATACCAATTATTCAATGAACGGTGTTACAAAACTTTCACAGTGGCCAGAAACAATAGTGAGTTGTCACACGTTAAGGTGATGCTCACCTGATGCAGAAGCGGGAACCTCACCAGGAGCCTGACAACGAGTAGATTCTGAGTTCAAACCCACCACACAGTTGGGAGATCAGATGGTGAGAAGGCCAGAAACCCCTGGGGAAGGAGCCTTTGGTCTTTTTACCACAGGATGCGTTGGGGAAAGCATAGCCTTCAACATGAGACCAACACTGTGATTCAGAAACTGCACTGAAGTGCTACACTTACTGAACACTGATTTAATACCATCATCCATATTAATGCTTTTCCAATTAACAAAAGGGATATTGTTACATCACCTAACCTATATTGATAGGCTGTGTGTGTTAGTCACTCAGTCATGCCCGACTCTTCAGCAACCCCATGGACTGTAGCCCACCAGGCTCCTCTGCCAACTGAATTTTCCAAACAAAAATACTGGAGTGTGTTGCCATTCCCTTCTCCAGGTGATCTTCCTAACCCAGGAATCAAACCCAGGTCTCCTGCACTGGCAGGCAGACTGTTTTTACCATTAAGCCACCAGAGAAGCCCACTGATAGGCTACTGGTGGCTAACTAAATAAAAATCTCAAAGAAGCAAGGGACCAATGTCTTGAACCAATTTCACTGTAAACATCGATTGCTGGATACAAAAACCTGAGAGCAGACCCTTAGGAGAACATTATGTGAAGCAGAACTGTCCTAAGATAATGCACACAAACCAACATTGTCTATTTAATAAAAATATTTAATGCTGCCAAAAGGTATAAAAATACAGTAGGAATGGCAGTACAATACAAAGTAGTCTCTCCTAATTTATTTCTTTTACATCTTTCTACATTTCACACACGCATTAGAAAACTTAACAATGCACTGAATTAGAGGCTTCTGCACAGTCTTCCGCTGGTGGCGCTCTTCGCTCCCTGGATGTAAGGTTTACTTTGTAAACAGACACATGTGAGGCAATCTACAGGCTTATCAAGCCTCACTGAGATTCCGGAGTGGGCTTCAGGTCTTGTTTTGCACATCAATGGTTCAAAACTTATAGCTGCAGAATATTCTCAAGGCATGAATATTTAGGTGTCTGTCAATCTTGGCCTAAAACATAAAATAAGAAGTCATCTATTCAATTCGTATTTACCAAACACACAGACGTACATAGACACACACACACACATAAAAGGACTAACAATGAACTAAAAAGGCAAAAAAAAAAAAAAATTTCCAACACATCACACTCAACCACACTGAATGCTTCACTGTTATCTTGGTAAAGCTGCTTATGTGCTTGCTCTTCAAACAGAACTGGTGGTGTGAGGCAGACTTATGTTAAAGCACCATAACTCAAGTCTTTTACAAGAATCACTAACTATGAATTTTGTAGGTCATCCTGTATTACTCAAGAAATGACCTCCATGTGAGCGATACTGACGGACAGACAGGTTAAAAAAAAAATGTACCCACAACAGTTCAGCAAGATTATATGGTATGTGCTAGACTTACCAATACTTTGGAATTCAATGCAAAAGTCTAATCCAATTTGGACCTCCAATGTATCATACTGCTAAAAATATTAATGAATGTAACGTCTGAACATAAAGTTGTCTTATACCTTTAACTCACGGACTGTGAGCAGCGTGCTTTTTGTCCTGAAGGATAACACTAATGATCACAGCAATGCAGAACTGAAGTGACATGATTTAAGTATTAAAAGAAAACACAGACATGAAATAATTGATAGATTTATTGTATTTTAATGCCAAAAAGTAAAGATAAATGAGAGTTTCAACAAGCGATAGAGATGAAATAACTAATTTAAGGGCAACTGAGATTTTAATGTTATTTCACAATATTTGCAAACAGCTGAATTTCTGAGGTGGTAACTGGTTTTCCCCAACTTCCTCTGCTATGACCAAAAAAAAAAAAAACAGCCCAGATCTCGATACCTGTTATTACTGTGTCCCCACGTATATAAACAGAAGACATAAACTGCACCCACACTTTTATCCAAAACGTTCCATCAAAACCCCCAACACTGCGAGTTGGCTTCTTCCTGAGTGCTGGCTCCTTGGTGTCAGGTTTCCAGCACCGACACAGAAATGTCCAGACACCAAGGGAACATTCTCGTTAGATGCCTGTGGGCACAGAAACACAACGGGTGCTTCCTGCAGGGAAGCAAAACAAAACCAAACCCTGAACCAAAGTGGGTGACATAAGAAAAGGAGCTCCTGATCAACCTTGACTGTTGCAAATACGAAGTGTTCCCCACACCTTCAGAAGCCCCCTCATGAAAGCAAAAGAACAAAGCCCATCAGTCAGAGTGAATGGAACCATGGTTTGAGTCACAGGGTAGTATTATTTCCAGGATTCCTCTGGATCAGCAGTAGTTCAAACTGCTCCACAAAGTTTTTTGGAGGGAAAAACGTTTGTTTCACTTGAACCATAAAAAGAGGGTTATTTCAGGTTTCAATGGGCAAAAGTAGCTGTCTAATGTTCTATGTAAATATTCCATAAAAACAGGCCCAGTGAGACATAATGGGAAAGTATGAGATCTGGAGTCACTGGAATTCTACAGATGGGAATCCATGTCTCAGCTCTGACATGAACTAGATGTAGAGCCGCAGGCAAGTTGCTGGTTCTCCGACTCAGGGTGTATGTGTGTGTATTTAGGAGAGGTGGAGTGTGTATGTGTTTAGGAGAGGTGGAGTGTGTGTGTATGTAGGGGAGATGTATTTAAACTGACTGACACAACCGGCAGTGCATTAAAGACACACTCCACTAGATGAACAACTCCACTAGTAGAACAACTTAAGGTCTCAACAGGGGCCAGCTCCACACCTAAAGGAACAAAGTCAAGTGCACCCAAAGTAATTCCAGTCACCAGATGCTCAAACTCATGTTTCACTGAAAAGAGTCACAGACACTTCTCTGGGGTGAGCAAGGCACTCACTGCCTTACAGACAAGATTAGCTTGCCCAGTTTCCCTCTCCTGAATTCACCAAACTCAAAATAACTTCAGGTTTTTTATACCAGTAATTTGTCTAAAAAATCTATACCAAATGAAAGCAACAGTAAAGAACTGATGTTTTTCTTTGGGGGCGGGGTGGGAAACAGTCTCCATAAAGATAAAAACTCCCAGCCACTCTCCTTACAGTTCCCCAAACATACTATGTGGTGGAAAACCAGAAAGTATTAGATTCTGCAAGTGATATCTGCCCTGAGTCCTCTAAATCCCATATTCCACTCTAAATTACAAAACCAAAACAGAAAGAGTTCCAATGACTGAACTGTTCATTCTCCCACTGGACCACACAGAGCTTGTGAGGGCGCTGGAGAATGTCCATGGTCAGGCTGTTCCTGATAAAGCCTCTGGCTGAGTCACCACTGGCCCAGGCACCGTCTGTGATGGGACAGCACGTACACACTCAGGAGCACAGAGGACGCCTCGCCTTTCTGACTCGTCCATTGCTGCGGGAGCTGTGGTGCCGCTGGCCCAGAAACAAGGCTCTGAAGACAGATGTGAGGGATAGCAGCCTCAAATTCAAATCAGCGAACTTGGGGAAAGCTCCAGAATACATCATCCAGGGAAGACAAGACCTGTATTTTCAGTGAGCCAGGACGACTGCATTTTATTATGTAAAAAATTACTAATTTCTGTTTTTCAAAATTGCGTTTAGAAGATGCTGCACCCCATCATCTAAACAAGTCAAAGCCAAACAAGAACTTCCTGATGTGAGAGATGTAAACAGCTGTGACGTGGGGACGGGGGCCCAGACTCACTGCTCCTGCTCACACCTATGCTTCATACCCACTGACAGCCCCTCTCCAACCTGCCAAAATCAGAAACCAGTCAGCACTGACAGACAGCGTGACTCCTACACTCTTGCCTGGACTCAGGAAAAGTGGATGACACGCACAGCAGCATTCGACTTACAGTGAGCTACATTTACAAAGTGTCTGTAAGACTGTGTCTAAAAGTAAAAATCAAATCCTGAAACCTGTACAGGGGACTTTCCTGGTGGTCCAGTGGTTAAGACTGTGAGCTTCCAATGCAGGGGGCACAGGTTTGATCCGTGGTTGGGGAACTAAGATCCCACATACTAAAAATTAATAAATAAAATTAAAAAAAAAAATAAAAACCCCTGTATAATAACCAGGCAGGCACTTCAGAAGTGCCTTCCCTAGACTTTACAGTGGTCAGTACAAGATTTCCAGTCATCAGGTCTGGCCTGTGTTGGCTCACACAGAATCTAGTCTGAGACATTCTTCTAAGAGAGAAGCGACTTGCAGAGTTACACCTTTCTCTGAGAATTCAATTCTAACACACTGGATTCTTCAGCACGAGAACCAGGAGAGACAGTGGGAAAGTCAAGTCTCAGGTGACTCTGGTTCAGTGACCCCAACACCTGCATCAGCTGGAGGTCAACAGAGAACACTCGGAAACACGGAGCCCAGAGCAGCGGAAACCACCACTAAATGGGAACAACCGTCACTGCCAAGAACCCTGAAAGCAAAGGTGGAACTGATGAAAGCAGAAGGAGGGCTCTGCATCAGAAACTGCCTCTTAAACTAACAGGTGTTTTTTTATTCAAACCATCAATTCTAGTTTATCTGAAACAAAGGGGACATGCACAAGTGTACATAAAATTAATAATTTGAGGCGCAATTCCTTCCTCTGATACACCTGTTAGGCAGAGCTATATTAAAAAAGAATCAACTTTACTTCCTTTTTCTTTTTTTGTTCATTCCTTGGTAGAAATACCAATACATAAATGGACCAAAAAGACCAAAGAGAAAAAAGGACAAATACAAAATTGTTCTCTAAACACAAGAATCGGTCTGTGTCACTATAGTCCTCTCTGCATTTTCACATTAAGATACATATGGACCCACTAAATACAGAGAATTGGGTTTGTGGATATTCCACACGTGCAATTATAGATAAAAACCAGCAGGAGGATGACATAAAGTGCTCGGATGAATGTGGACACAAGGTCAGAGCCCATGGTGCAACCGGAGAAGATAGCTCTGAATCAGGGCTGCCTGCTTACGAGCAGAAAAAGACACGAACACAAAATGAACCAGGTATTAATGCAAATATTCTTTCTTAAAAATAATAAAACTTCTAGTTTTTTTTAATTAAGAAAATACCACTTCAGCAAAGTCAAACATAGAACTGATGTTCAGCATCTGTTCTAATTAGGAAACACCATCAAGACCACGTCCTGGGAAGAAGCAGACCACTGTGGCCGCTGACCCCTGCAGCTGTTACCTAAGGCCAGGACCCCGCCTGTCCGCCCTCCTTCAACCAGACACCTTCTTTAATAAAGGTCAGGCACCTCGCCACCCACTCATAGCAAATGGTAAAAAACACGACTCCTGGTAAAAACCGACGTGCTCGCCTCAAGGATTTGCCAAGAGGAGGAAGACAACTAACCTATGCAGAAGTTGATTAACAAGGGTCTGTTGCCCTGGATGTGACTTGAAGAATACATTAGGACACACAGCTCCAGAAGGACAGAAAGCAGACAGAGAGCAAAGCTGAAGCACTGAACCCCACAAAGCAGCTGTCCTGCTCTGCCTGGGAACAAGGGCATCATTACCAGCTTGTGTTTCCCATAAAGTCTTTTTACTTTACTTTTACTGAAAGCAAGGCTACCTGCAGTTGGAATTGAACAGGTCTACCTGTATTTGACTTGCATAGTAATTACTGTATTTTAGCAAAAATAAACCAAGGCAAATTGGAAAGAAAGATTTTAAACCAATAATGACCTAAAACGTAAGGACCTTGGTGCCTGAACACAGGTGTCAAGCAGGCAGACACAGAAATGTCCCTCTTACCTCCTTCAGTGTAAAGCTAACGGGGCGCAGTGGTGCTGAGCAGGGCGTGCTCCAGACGCAACTGTCCTCCACACAGAGCACCACATGTGTCCTGCTCTCACACTCTTAGAAGGCTATTCAAACCCACTCAAAAGTCTATCTATACTGACATTTTTCAAACTGTTGTTTAAATGGTAACTGCTCTCTGAAAATAATTCAGCCTGGTGCAGCAATCTTACCCTGTAAAGTGGATAAAGCAGAGACGCCTGGTTGGAAGTTCAGCGTCCCCCTTATCCCTTCCTGGTGACACCTTAGATATCCCACCAGCATAGTTTGAAACCACCAAAATAATGTGATTTCATTATTTCACCAACTAAATTTATAACACCTAAAGTTTAAATAAAACAAGTTAAAACACCAGAACTCAAATGAGCAGTTAAATTCATTAAACAATATGCTTTAAAAATACTCATTAAGAAGTTAAAGGGACAGTGTAAAGTTTGAACATCATTATACTATTTATTGAAGTAGAAAGAACTTGAAAATTATTTTTACTGCAAAACTTCAGTCAAATAAATGGAAATCATGGATAATAAAATGCTGCTCCTTATTTTGATTTCCTAAATCATGATTTACCCCAATTATAACTTAGGGTAATTACATTGAAATTTTCCTGAAAGATAAACAGTATTAATAATGGGCTTTACAGAAACCAGTTTCTTTACAAAGTCTTGACCAACTGTTACCTGACTACGCCAGTAAGGAGAACCTTCCTTCAAAGATATTTTTAGAGAAAATTTTTGTTTCTTTGTTTGTTTTTCTTTTTAAAATTGGGAAGACTGTAAAACATAAAAGAAATGCAAATATATAGTAAAAATTACTTATTCAGAGCTCTACCTGCTCATATCAAACTTCTCTTTAGGAAAACGTATCCAGTACAATTGAATCAACATACAATTTATTATTATTTTTATGGTAACAGATTTTTTCAAATTGAGCTTTTAAAAAGTACATTTAACTACAAAAGTAAGATTAAATAGGTACTTATAAAATATATTTACCCTGAAATGGTTAAGAATATAAAATGTTGATGCCCATGTCAACAGTACATTATACATTACACGCATTACTTAAAGGTCATTTTCTCTCCAATAATAATGTCGATAAAACCACAATATTTATTGCTTATATCAAGTGCAGGTTAAAATCCAGACAGCCTCCAAAAATGAACCCTTATGATAAAGGATTTCTCAGTCTGGTCAGGTGAAATATTACACTTAGCATGTATGAACACAGTGGAAAATGTACCAGTTCTTAAGAATCATTCAAGTCTTTACTTGGGGGGCGGGGGGTGGGGTGGCGGGTAGTGTGGGCAGTGCCCTGGGGTGCTGGGGGGACCAGACACCACACTTCTCTGTGGGTGAGAAGTCTGTGAGGAGTCACAGACCAACTCTGTGACTCATGCAACACTGTCAGCAGCTAGGGCCGAAGCTTGCGGGGCAGAATTAGTTACTTATAGGGCATTCTGCTGAAGAAACAGTGTCCAGCCAACAAAAGCGCCAACCAGAATGACTGACACAAACCCCATCTTAGTGAGAATAGGTTGCCAATATAACCACCTTTTCCTCTTGCGCTCAGTCTCGCTCAGCCTCTGCTTCATCTGCTGCACCTTCTGGGCAGTGCTGGCCTTCCTGTCCTCCCGGAGGCGCTTGCGAAGAGCACTGTGAACAGACAGAGCGTCAGCAGGTGGGCTCAGCTGCAGGTAGGGACTCAGCCCACACACCCCCCACCCCTCAACTCCTTAAGATGCTGCAAGAAGGGGAAGGGCCTCGATGCTCTGAATGGTCCAGAGATAACACTCAGATTGTTCAACAACAATTGCCGGTTCAACTTTGTGCTAATAAATACTTTTAGTGGGACCTGAAAAGAACCACGGTGTCAGTGTTCTAACTTTCTTTGCTAACCAGTCAACAGCAGTGGGAAGACAGAGTGTCCCTTCAGCATCCGGTCCCCTCTGGAGTTTACATCTGATTTTTCACAAAAACCCCTAAACTTAACATTTTCTTGAATGTTTCACTGTGTAGTGCCTACTGTCCTCTGTCCACACCCTTTACTAGCTCCCATTTTCCTGTTCAGTACAGAATTTTTGTTTCAATGGAAGCTATCTGACTCCCAACATCACAGTCCTGGAACAAGGCAAAGATCAGTTGATGGTAACGTGTACTTTACTATTTTTCCCCCTTAAGAAAAAAATCTCAAAAGCCCAAGATGACAGCCACCATGAAGAAGGCAGCAGTAGCAGATGCTGTTACTTTTGAAAATCAACAAAAGACACATTTTCATAGTATACAAGTAGAATCACAAGTAGAGCTGAAGGAAGAAACAGAAAAAGGAAACAGTTATAAAACTTAGAGATGCTTATGAGGACATCATGCTTGTAGATCAGGACTGCTTAGTGATATTAGACTGGCAATCTTCCCATCAGGCACTCTTGAGGAAAAACATGGGAAATGCTGGAAGAAGCAAAAAAAAACCTTGCACGAAGAAACTGACACCTTAGAATGCAAAGTGGAATCAATTCAGCAGGTGTGAGCAGATCTGAGAGTTCAGTTATATGCAGTCTGGCAGCAACACAAGCCCTGAAGCTGATGAAAGCTAACCATTTTATAATACTTTAAAAATGTGTTTTTAATAAGCCTGAGTAGTGTTTAAAATAATTTCCCTTCTTCAAATGATATGGAAAGCAAGACTTAATTTTTTTCACTTAATGGAAACTCATGGAAATTTAAGAGGATGAGATGGTTGGATGGCATCACCAACTCGATGGACATGAGTTTGAGCAAGCTCATGGGGTCGCAAAGGGCTGGACAAGACTGAACGACTGAAGTGAACTGGATGGAAACTTGCCTATTTAACATATATTTTTAAAAGAAGAGAGTACTCATTTATATATTTTGCATAACAATTACATCAAGTGTAAGGGCTATTAAAATCAGTTCCAAAGAAACTAAATCTAAATCTCACAAACCCCATCTCCCTTCAGGTACTGCTGTGTTACAGCGGAAGCCTAACCAGACTCCCTGCCTTCAGTCAGGCTGCCTATGCCACAGCAATTGCTGTGAGGCATAGTCCTGACGTGCTGCTTGGTTAAGAGTCCTGAATGTCTCTTCAGTGTCTAACTATATCAGCAGCCAGCTTTCTTCTTGCCCCAAGTGTTTAACCTAAATCTAATAATGAGGAACAGTCAGAGGGATCCAGATCATGGGGTGTCCTAGAAGGCAATTCGTCTGAAAGCTGCAAACAATGTCCAGCAGGGAGTGAACAGAAGGTGGTGGATGGTCCCAGGGAAGGAGCCTGAAGAACCACTCATATGCTGCATGACCCTGGACAAGATCATGAATTACTTTTTTAAATAGCTGAACAGACCAAGATTATAAAAATGTCCCCAAATTACATTATGGTGACTGCTACGTAACTCTGTAAATATACTCAACACTCTGAACTGTATGCTCTACATCTGTCAACTTTTTATGTATCTCAGTACAGTTATTTTCTATGAAGCTATAAAGTGGGTTTTTGATAATTACAGAACTTTAAATATAGTCTACATATTAGATTATTTTGTCAATGTTAAATTATTCTTGGGGATACAGGCACCTTCAGCCACTGCTGGTGGGAAGGCAAAGTGATGCAGCCATTTGGAAAAAATGGCTTAAAAATGATCCCCATGGAGTGACCACGTGTGACCCAGCAACCCCACTCCTAGTTAACACACAAAGGAGATGAGAGGACGCGTGCTCACAAAGACTCTCCAGTGTTCACCTACTGTGTATGGCCTTGGTCCTGCCCAAATAGCTTTTCTGCTGTTCTCAAAGTCTGTTTCCTTCTAAACTAAGAACACACTTCTCTTTGCTTCCCTCAGCCCCTGGAGTCCTTCTATTCTTATCTTATAGCACTTCAATTACAGTAAATCATTTACGATGTTAGTCTGGGTTCTTGTTTTGTCTTCTAAGTGTATCAGCAACTTTGGACTATGTTTTGCCCATCTCCGTATGCCTTGCAGTCTTCCTTCCACTTTTCCTTATCACAGACACAGGTAGCTCTGCCTGAATGATCTCCACCTGAGTATTTCCTACAATGATGTGCAAAAACTATTACTCAAAATTCACTCTATGGACTGAAAATTCATATAACAAGTATGTATGTACCTGCCAATTAAAAAAAAATTACCTTGTAATCAAGAGCAGGCAAAGCACATATAAAATATATAAAAGGATACAGAGCTCACAGTATTATTTCCTGACTTAAAAGCATTAAGTCTGAGGTAGAAGAAAAGACAAATACCTCTATGCTTTAACTTGTGACTAAACTACTGACATCACATATAAGGAGCAGCACAGCTAAGTCAGAACAAACTCTGAAGTACAACATGTAACCGCCATGCATTGCAATTCCTTATGTCTTGGGGAAACACAGAAATGAAGCTATAATGTAAGGAGACCTTAATGGTTCTCACAGCATATCCCTTGATCCCAAAGTAACAAATATGACTACAATGTAAAATTTTTCAGAAGAAAAAGCATGTTTGACAAAAAGAAAAAAAAAAGTCAACTCAGATACTGAAGAGAGGAAGAAAAGGTGTTCCTTCACTTTTCTAAGAAACTCACACCTCAGGATACCAACTTCATACAATGTGAGATACCTGGAGCCCTAGAAGTATAATTTTTCAAATTTAAAAACTTGAACAGTTTAGACATTCATATGGATTCAAAACTCTAAAAGTATAGGGCATTTTATGTGATTTTTTAGAAAGACTTTTTTCTTTCAATAACAAATTTAAATTGAAATATTCATTTAACTATTTCATAATGGTATTAATGGGATTCCCAGGTGGCTCAGTGGTAAAGAATCCACCTGCCAATGCAGGAGACACTGGTTCAATCCCTGGGTCGAGAAGATCCCCTAGAGGAGGAAATGGCAACCCAGTCCAGTATTCCTGCCTAGCACAGAGGTCCCGCCAGGCACGGACAGAGGAGCCTGGAGGGCTACAGTCCATGGGGTCACTAACAGTTGGACAAGACTTAGCAACTGAGCACTCATACCCTCAATGGTATTAAAGAAATATTATCACTTACACTGTATAATGGGAGCATGAACACTGCATAACTACACAAACAGCAGGTATTACCGTTTGTTTTCTGTGCCATACTACACACCTTAGTATCCACTTATATTAACTTTTACACTCTAATACCATGCTAAACCCATATTGTGTCAAGCCATTTTCCATTATACAGGTTTCTGTCTATAAACTGTCTTCTTTGAGCTCAATGACGCCATCATATGCTATTTAAATGCCCCACAATAATAAATTGTTACATTAATTCAATAAACAAAGGATCTATATTAGTTCATATCCACAAACTTATTAAAATAAGAGTCTCATCTTTACAAGCACATGACTGCAGTAACCTTACCTCTCGCTGTTCTCCTCCAGAGTTTCCTGTGTTTTAGAGGACAGACTTGAGTATCTGTCTCCTGTCAGTTTTTCCTCTTCTAGGCCTATCCTGTTCCCATTATATTTTTCAGTCATTATTTTGGTTGGTGAATGATCAAAAACAGGACATACGTCTTCCTTAGAAAGTTCTTTCCAACGTTTCTACATAGGGAAGAGAAATGAGAAACAAATGAAAACACTAGAGTTTTGATTTTCCTTAAATAAAATTTACAAAATGCAATTATATAGTTAAGAGAAGCCTGTGATGCTAATATATGAATGAAAGAGGAAAACATGTTTTGTCAAACCACTTCTAGCTATGCCTACTTGAAGTTGAATTTAATAATAATAATAATAAAGCATTTAATACTGATGCACATCAGTATGGAGTTGAACACAACCACCTTAATAAAACACAGTGACTTTAGCCCATTTGAGACAAACTACACTAGGACCTCATGGTAAGATCTTCAAAGTCTGACTGTACTATCCCCAGTGCAGAGGCACCTGTTGTAGGAAGGGTGATCAAGATGGCCCATGAATGTGACCCATGTCCTCCAGCTCGTTGCCACTGTCCAGTCTAGAGAGAAACAGCAAGTCCCTGCAGTGCCAGAGGACTCCAAAGACTGTGCCCACCACGGGCACCAGCAGCCCTAGCAGCTGGCCCGACCCAGGGCAGAAAGGGCCCCAGCAGCCGGGACTGTGGGGTGGCAGGACTCAGACCATGATGAAGAGCCATCCACTTTCCTCCTCTGAGGCAGGAAGACCCAGGCTCTCCAAGTCTTCCAAGGGCTGGGAACACGTTCACCCAGCTCCTGGCCATCCATGGAGGAGCAGAGGCATGGCTGGGACAGCCAGTGGCTTCCATGACCTCAAACTCTAACTCCGGCACAGACCTGAGAGGCCCTCTTTGGAGATCTATCCTGCAAGTATGGAGTCTCAGATCTAATAATGAGTAAGGTTCCCTGCAACCATCATCTGAGAATTTCAAGGATTCTGACAGAGAAGGAATACTGCACAACTCACATTCTTCTGGGACTGACAGAAGAACACTCATTCTCTGCAGTTACTATGGTACAAAATGGCACTACTTAAACAATGCCTGTATGTTTAGATTTAAAAATGTCAGGAAATTCACTGACAGACCGATAAACTAATTTCCAGCTTGTCTCATTACACAACAAAGGAATTAAAAGGTATTTTGTCACACTCCACCTTCCCTGACATGGCTCTTCTATGAAGCTGCACAGTGTGTGAATGGATCTCCTTTTGTTCTCGTGTGTGAATGGATCTCCTTTTGTTCTCGGAAGTTGACTCACAAAAGACTCAGAAAGTACAACTCTGTAAATTGTTGTGTTTGGAGGGCAGTGAGCACAACAGCGTGGCTAGAGGAAGGGGGGCCTGTAAAGCGTGGCCAGACAGGCGAGGCCAGGAAGGAGGTGGACCTCAGGGAAAGACAACCTTGACATGAGGTGCCCGGGGTGGGTCTGTGTTCTCTCGAAAGGGACCTGTGGTGTCTCCATCACATCCAGAAAGACTATCTTACCAAGAGCTGAGAATCCATATAACAACACACAAGAGTAAGATGCTTTCACCTGAGGTGACTGTGTCAATTTTGTTCTTTACCATTGAAAATTTTTTTCTCTGGCCAAATAGCATTTTTTATACTAGAGGAAATGCAGTGGAGAGACAGCTACTTCCTGAACACTACCACACCCCTGCTGACCTAAGACTCCACCTACACTGGTCTCCTATCCTCACGAGACCCCCGGAAGAGGTGCGGCTCCTCCTGCTGCTCCCTCCTGTCATACAGGCTCCACAGCTGCAGAGCTGGGATGTGAACCCAGAGAGCCTGGGCTGACAGTGCCAGAAATCCTCAGGATGCTCTGCATCTTGGAAATAACCATCAGTGTCAGACACCAGAGAGTTTAAGTATCCAACAAAAATGTTAACTGTCTCCAGAATTATGCTGAGCAATTCTTCACCAAGATCTAGTTACTGCAACTTGGACAAAACTCAACAATGTCAATAAACAAGATGATGCCCAAAAGCAAGACTCATTGGCCCACTTCCCAGAATCCACCAAGACTCAGCAGGGTGCAGGGGTGGTGGTGGGTGGGGACGGTCAATGCTAGTGAACTTCAAAGGAGAAAAACAAAGAGCAATGTCTTTCTGTCACATCTCTGGGCAGAACTGAGGATTCGCTAATAAAGATATGAAACACCAGCAATGGTACTACATTTATGACAACCTCAGGCCAGAAAGATGGAAGGTAAACAGAGTCCTTTTAAAGACAGCTAGAGATCATCTCCTCTTTCCTGGTGGGCCCAGGACACTGGAGATGGCAGTGCATAAACATGCACTATGTGGTCATCACACACAAGTTACTAGCTTCAGGTACAGTCATTTTAGGTGTAAATACTAACAGCTTTCCTTTGTCCTGGCAGGTTCTAAATCATTTTATAGCCACATATGTCAGAAATCTTCACAGGAAAACAAACATGAAACTATAGTCAACAATGAAAACACCACTCGAATCACATAAGCCCAGATTAAGACAGAAGGTGGAGACACATGCCCTGTTCAGCAAAAAGAACCAGAGACGAAGCTGACACAGTGCGGGTGCTACTGGACAGAAAGACAGTATCCCGCAGCCACTGCCATCAACTCACACTAGAGAAGCATCCCTTGTTCTTCTTACAAATACTAATTTCCCCCAAAATCAGAGGCAAAGAGGAGGAGGCAGATGCATGGAGAGAAAAAAGAGCCCATAAATTGCCTATCACCCCCTTACGTGTCCTAGGAGATGCTTCTGGGGCACAGGACACTTAGAGCCATGCGTTCTGCGGTTTCCACACAACAAAGCAACTCTTGATCTTTGTAACAGGACAGTTTTATGATTTAAGATTTCAGGGAAATCTATTTCTCTGAGATTTTTGTTCTGTTCTAAGGTTCTAGGATAGCACTGTCCAGTGAAATGTAATGTAAGCCACACATATATATATATATCTTTAAAAATATCTAATAGCCATGTTTTTTAAAAAGATGAATTTTAACATGTTTTATTTAACTCAATATATTAAAAATATTGTCATTTGAACACATGATATTTTTTAAATTACTGAGATCTTTTACACTCTTTCTCCCTGTATTTGTACATCTTAAATTTTAAGCAGAACTCGATTCAGACTGGCTACATCTCAACACTAAACAAACACATGGCTACAGCATGAGACATCAGGGGTTCCAGAAGGAGAAAACAGTCTGAAAATAACTACATAAAATAAACAAGTCCATACAGTGATACATAAATACTACTGATGCATGGACATGCAAACCTGGAAGCACACACACATGCATTAGTGGCTACACGCTGGGGGGTGAGGGTGAGTTAGCGAGGACTTCTACTTTGTAACTGATGTACTTTCACAGTCTCCGAATTCTCATATATTCAGTAGGTACTAACTGATTGCTGAGACCAATTCTGTGGAAACTGAGCCCCCTGGAAGGTAACAGGCTCTCTGACCCTGAGCACTGGAGAAACAGGGGCATTTCCAATGGGCCCTGTGTAAGGAGGCAAAGGAGACCTGTGGGTCTGAGCAGGGATGAAGATACTGGGTCAGGGACGTGATGGTCACACAGCACAGATAAACTGGGACAGAAGAAAATCCCCCAAGCCACATACCACAGTCACCATGGGACTCACGTCCGTAAAACCCACCTCCACCGGGAAAGCAACCCTCAGAGGAGGCACATCCGTGTTCTAAGTGCAGCGAGGGGCAGTGCCCTGAGGAAGCGCCTGTCTGGAGGAGCCAGGGAATGAGCACAGCAGACGGGGTCAGCACACACACTGGCACTGAAGCTGGTAGACATGCACGTTAGAGACGCTCCCCATCTTGAATGCTGAGGCGGCATCTGGGGGAGGCACTAACGTCTCGTGGGTTTAATCTTCACACACCAAGCACTTTACTGATTGAGGGCACTGAGGAACCTCACCTTTCTCTTCATTAAAAATTTTCCTTTGATGCTAAAGAGGGGGGATCTTTTAAATAAAACTTAAAATTTTAATTGATAGACTGTCTTGAATAGTTAAAATAATACCAATGATCACAACAAAAACGTTAGCTGATAAATAAAATTGTTCAGGGGTATTTAAATATCTGTGTAATCTATACGACATAACTATTTATACATCATTCCACAGATGGTGTGATCTGTTACAAAACAAGGCTTATTCAGAATCTTGCTCTTTTGGCCATAATCACAGAAGCTAGAGAGCAAGTAAGTGGTTTTATGTAGGAGAAACAAAAAGAAAATCTACCTGCTTATGTAAAATTCTACAGGATTGGCTCAGACAAGAAAGGGGACTCTACTGTTACTTCTGTTTCTATTTTACATTTTATGTTAGTACATAAACACAGGTTTCTGAAAACCAATCTTAGCTTTTGCAGAACAAAAACACCCTCATGAGAATAAAGCTACCAACCAGAGAAAAACAACACTGTCCTGGTGCATTGTATCTGCTGCAAGTACTCAAGCTGCTTGCTCACTGTTGCAGCAGATGGGATAATCTATTTACAAACTAAGTATTCTTGTGTAACTCCAGGCCAGGTTTTAATGGGCCAAAAGTACCTAATTTTTCCAATTATTTCAATGAGTAAATGCTCAGACTCTCTTCTACATGAAACTTCTACTTTTTTTAATGAAACCATGTTCCCAGCTGAGCTTCTGAGAGACAAGCAGGATTTAACAAGAGGCTGAGGAGCATGTGAAGAGGTGGGCACAGGCTTTTCCCTCTCAGAAGCCAGCTGGACCCACCATATTAATGTAAATATGCTTCTCGGGAGGAGGGGAAAAGCCCTGTGGCTTACACGGAATGCAGTTACCTGACAACAATACACTTGACACACGGTTTACCTGTATACTTGAGTCTCCTTTTATAAACTTTGCTCCTTCTATTATCGTCATGTAGGAAAATCTGAGCTGATCTGGAGTCTGAATCAGCCCCATTCGGTATTTTCTCATATTCAGTAACAGTTGTTTAATGTTAATATTGTCTCCTTTTTCTATCTGCAAGAGAGGTAAACAATATTCAAGCCTTTTGTTGTTAAAGAGTCCAGAAAAGAAAGCAATCCAAGATAACCACTAAGGGCAAGCCGGCCCAGGCCGCCGTTCCCTGTCCAGGCAGCACAGGGAGGACCCACGGCTGACGCCAGCTAATAGTCATCTCACTTGTGTTAGCCTAGCGATTGGTGATTGGTCGAAGGAAGGATTTATGCTGTGTGCTGGCTTAAAGTAAGCATAAATACACAGAGATTAGTGCCCTTCTTTTTTAAGGAGTAAATCTTTTCATTGGGTGCCCCCTGCCTTCATATCTGTACACAGCAGCCTCATGTCTGTACACAAGTCTATGGATGGTAGCACCCAAGGGTGTGGAGGAGAGAGACCCACGGTGACAACACTGCAGATGATACGGCAGATCGCTAGCTGCAGCAGTCAGGCTTAGTCCACTGTGACCCAACCCCATCCCACCCCACCCCAAGTGGAAAAGAGAACAGTTGCTGCAGCAACTTTGGGAGGGAACTGACACATACGATCCAGTTTTAATATTTACCATCAACAGACCAGATGCTTAAGAGTTCTTAAACACATCAAAGCTCCCTTATACATAATAATTGGCTTTAGATGGAAGCATGGGGTATTAAACACGGTGTTAATACAGTGACGTCTAAGATACCATAAAAGAAGGACAGGCACATGCTGGTGCCCCGGCGGGGGCTGGGAGGGCTGGGGCGACACACAGCCCTCGGGCACCACAGGAACCTCAGGGGGTGATGTCAACACCACACTGACCAAGGGGCTTAGACAGTAGGTGTTCCTAGTACACTGATTCACTTAATTCTCCCAACAGTCCTGGGAGGGAAATACCAGCACTACCCACAGTTTGTAAATAAGGAAACCGAGGCAAGAAGGAATTCAATACTATCTACCAACTGATGTCTGAAAAAATACAGTGGGTGAGGGAGACAACCTATCATTTAGCACACAAAGCTACCAGCACAAGTCTCCTCCCAGAGCTCGAGGATTATCCTGGTCACAACCCCGTCCACTCATCACAAGCAAGAGGCAGCTGAAAGGATGTGAAAGAGAATTTTTGGTTTCTCTAAAAAACAGGTAGACGTTTAAGTTTGAAAAGCACAGTTCTGGGATCCTGGCATTTGAACTTACTTCTGCCAGTGGAAACAACAAAAAGGTATGGGAGCCTGAAATGAAGTCACTTACCAGAACAAGGCAGCTGTCCACCAGAGAAAAGGTGCCCGACCGCCCAATGCCGGCACTGCAGTGGATCACCGCAGGCCCGTGCTCAGGGTTCAAGGAGCCAGATTCCCGCACTTTGAATAAGAAATTGAGAAACGAAGCTGGTGATTCAGGGACTCCAAAATCTGGCCAGGTAGTATAATGAAAGTGAGATATTGTTCTGGTTTCACCAGTCTAAAAAGTGAAAATTAAGGGGGACAAGTTAGTTCTAAGTTTTTTCTTTTAAAAATCTACTGCAGTAAGATGTGTTTTGTGTAATGCACCATGACTTTTCATTTGGCTGTTGATAATCACACATACAAGTTTGGGAGGATTTTCTTTAGGAGAATTTGGAATATATTAATAGCTACACTTCTGTAACAATTACTATTTTGTAGGCACATTCTAAGCTTTTTATATATTAACCCATATAAAAATCCCATTAAAACCCATTTTCCAGATGAGAAAACTGAGGCAAGGGTTAAGTAATGCACCCAAGGTCACAGGTAAGAAAATGGCAGAGCAGGACTGGAGCAGCACCTGGGTCTCCACCACTGACCTGCACCACATATGCCGCCAGGTCCTCTTAAATCACGCATCATGATGAGTGAATTCTCTGTTTTTATAAATTTCTACCAGTATAATTTCACATCTTTATTGGTTTCCTGTTTAAGAATTTCAAAGTCTGGGGCCTTCCCCAGTGGCTCAGCAGTGAAGAATCTGCCTACCAATGCAGGAGACACGGTACTGATCCCTGGTCTGGGAGGACCCCACATGCCATTGAGCAACAAAGCCCAGGAGACGCAACTATCAAGCCCGGGGCCCTATAGCCTGTGCTCCACAAGCAAAGCCACTGAAATGAGAAGTCCACACACCACAGCTAGAGTAGCACCTGCTCAATACAACTAGAGAAAGCCCACATAGCAAGGAAGATCCAGCATACCCAAAGGTAAATAAATAAATAAAATTGTTTTTTTTTAATTTAAAGTTATTTTTAAAAAAACAACTTCAAAGCTTTTAAAGATACAATTGTCCCCATTATAAGTTATCTTTCAGATTCAGCTACACAGGCACAGAGGAACAACTCAAGAATTAAAGATACAATCTTTACATTTTTAACTGAAACTGCTCTCCTAATTGCTGTTTTCCACATGGTAACAATTCCCAGTCCTAGAACTGTTGACAGGCCTTGGCTGATGTGCTGATAACATGGTTTACCAACATGCTAAATGCTTCCTGTCTCATACAGCCTGCCTGGCTACTCAGCACCACTTCCTGGATATTCCCGACCACCTTTATTTCTGCCTAACTCTTTATGAAAACATCCCTCAGCTCTGCCAGCAGACCCCCGTCCCTGGGAGCACTGCTCTGCCTCCTACTCCTCATTCAGTGGGAGCAGGGACCCACTAACATGTCTCTGCACAATATTCAACCCAGGCACATGGTTAACATACATCTTTCTATAAACAGGCCTGATGTTCCAGGAGGTATTTTAACCCTTCCCCAGACAACTGTCCCACTGCAGTCCTCAGCCACCACACTGTGTTGACCACACACACCTGGCCAGACTTGGTCCTCTAGGGCCTAAGCCAGGTCGAGGTGGACCTGCTAGAGCTCCAGGCTGGGCAGGGGTGGTGCCTGGACCCTGCTCCCATAGATATGGCCTATATGGTGCAGTTCAACTCTGCGTCACACCCTGGCCCCAACCTAAGGTCACCCCACAATCCTGGGCGACCACTTGCTTTTTCTTCGCTTGAATGATGTTGGCTCAAGATCAATGGCCTCTTTCTTTCTTCCAAATTCAGGTCACAGTGTCTGGGACACTCAAAGCCAGTTCCCAGAAATGCTCGCCACTGTTTATATAATACAGTCTTCTACACTAATAGATTTCTGAAAATCCATCTTTTTCTTCCCTGACAGGAACAGACTAAAGGACTTCTTATAGGTAATTTTTTTTTAATTAATTAACCACTCCTGAAACAAGACTCGAAAAACACAGCTCACAAAATCACATTAATTCCCAAAGGGCCATGTGAAGTAATAGGAGCCACATGTTTACTGTTGTGGTATAAAAAAGTTCATGTGCACAACTGGAGGCCCCATCATTTCACGTTGGAAAAGTAATGAGAAGGGGGAAGGGTTCCAGAGAGGGGAGAGCCAAATAAAATTCATCTCTACACGTGGACCCCACAACTTCCAATAGGGTACCCTACACTGCGATCCCATGACTTCCAACAGAGTCCCCACTTCTCTACACGCGGACCCCGCAATTTCTGACAGAATCCCAGTTCTCTACACATGGACCCCACAATTTCCAACAGAGTCCTAGTTCTCTACACTCGGATCCCACAACTTCTGACAAAGTCCTTGTCTCATACGGGTGGACTCGCCCCTTCCTCCTCTGTGGTCACCATGCCCTTGGTCCTCCTTCTGTGATGCCCAGTCCAGGCCTCCATCCCTTCTCGCTGCTGTCCCTCACACTGGGACTCCAACTGATCTGCACACACCTGCCAGTCCACACATCCCCGCACCATTTTCTTCAGAAAACACTGCATCGTGCATACCACCCCTGCACAAAGACGTTAGCACGTACCATTCTTAGGGCAAAATCTTATTTACATTTTTTTGAAGAATTCTAACTGTAGTCTTTGAATAAGATGACAAGCTCAGAGTCCATGGAGGCCAGGAAGCTGGTCTATGAGCTGAGTAGGTACAGACAACAGGAGCTGTGAGCATGGGGATGACTTGTGTGTGCCATATAGAGCCATTCAAATTCAGGTTAACTATTACTATTATCAGTTTGAAGAGGACTATAAATCTTCTAATTATTATTAAAAAAATAAAAAAAAAAAAAATCTACAAAGCTCTATGGCCCAGGCCCAACTTTAGGCACAGGCAGAAGGTAGCAAGATTGTGTTTCTAAGACTTTCATACGCCCAGTTTCACCATCTGTTAATGGGGTGTGAGAAAGCACTTACTTCACAGGCTCCAGTGAGGAATAAACAGGCAACCCCCACACCAGTGAAGCCTGAAGAGACACAGGGACACTCACTGGCGGCCTTAACCCTAACACTTCCAATCAACTATGACCTCTCCACAATTCCAGTCTCCTCACCTGTGTTTCTGCTCCACCTGGAGAGCAGCAAGGTGTTGACCCTGTCCCCCTCAAGGTCACTGTCCTGGTCCAGTCCTTAACCAGCTCTTGCAGGGCTGCTGCAACAGCCGTGCTAAATACATGGTCACTGAAAGTCACTCTGGGAGTGAACTGGAACCCCAGGTGGTGAACAGAAGAGAGTGACAGGCCAGGGGGCATAGGGCCCAGTTCTAAGCAGAGGGAAGGGCATGCCCAAGACAGGGACGGGCAGGAGAATTGGTGGGTGGACGAGCGGCAAGGGTAGGTGGGCTGGGGCTCCCGCAGGGGCCATGGAAAGGCATCCAGAGCCTTAGAGAAGGACTCCGCATTTCAGAACAAGCACTCAGGGTGGTGAACAGGGGACTTGGTGTACCCACCGTAAGAACCCCAACACATTAAGTGACCGAAGCAAGAAATGGGCACAAGCTGGACGGAAGGTGCACAGGACAGACAGGAGAGGAGGAGCCTGGGGGGGTCAAAGCTCGGGGCAGAAGAAACAGAACTCAGCACAACACTGTCTTCCAGGAACTCAATCACCTAAACCTGACAGAAGACACACGGAAAACACTAAAGGGCAAGTAAACAGAAAAGCCCGAAAGGCAAGTTCTCCATGTGACCTTGGATTTTAAAAGCCCCTCAAAACTACCTCCACAGCTTAAGCCATTCAAAAGCAGAATGGACTCTCTTCACTTGGGGAGAAACATTCAGACTGAGCTCTCATCATGATGCTGAAAAGAATGCTGGTGCTCCACTGCTCTGTCATACATGTCGTCAGGTGAGAGGTCCCCTCAGAGTAGGCCTGACAGGGCAGCTCTGCCCAGGTTGGTCAGGAGACTCCTCTAGAAGCGACCCGGTGCTCTGACCTCAGGAACAAGAGAGGGCGGCCCTACTTTATTAGCACCTTCTCCCTCAGCTTGCCCATCTCCACCACCCTGGCTCATGGAGGCCCTCCAGACTCACTCTGTTCCCACAGGAGCCCTGACCCAGGGGAGCCTAGAACCTTAGGCACCATAGGAGCGCTAACTCATGCAGTCACAATGACAACTCCATGAGGCAAGCAAGCCATCACCCTCGTTTTGCAGATGAGAGAAAGTAGGCACAGAGATCAAGTAGCGGGCTGGTCACGGGGCCAGGAGCAGCAGCCAGGATTCAGGCCACATGGCTCCTGGGTCTAAATGTGACTAACGCAATCCTGTCTCACCCACTAAAATGCTACCTTATCCTTCCAACACTGCTCACTCACTACAGACTGTGAAGTAGAACATAAACTGTTGCTGTTCAATTACAGTGGACTCTGAACACAGGCCAGTAAGAAACCACACATGGCCAGCAACTGAATCGCAGGGGCTGGCCCACTCCCAGGGTGGCCTCAGCTTCAGAAACTTTAGAACCAAGGCTCTTTCCACAACAATTAGACTTGGTCCCATGTCATTAGAAGTTAGGAGATCTGGAATTCAGCTAAGTAATCTATTTATGGGAAAAATCTATTAGCCTAATGGATTTTTAGGTTATTTTCTTTAACTAAGAAAAATAGGAATAGTAGGAGTTTATCTACATTGTAGGAAAACCATGGGTCAAACTATATATATGTGAAAATACTTCACAAGCTGATAAACAAAATACAAAAGTATTTTATTATTTCAAGTGTAATCAATTCTCAGACAGAGAAAAACACCTATGCCCATCTCCTGCTAAATCAATTTTAATGCCACAAGCAGATGCAGTACCTAGGATACATAAATACTAAGAGAAGGTGATTCCCAGAACCATGAGAAGTTTATGGAAATGAAGTTCTGTTTCTGGGAATAAGGGCTGGACAACCAGTACCAAGTAGCAGTTGATGTATTTCAGTGCAGCTTAAGATACACACAAATGGAATCACTGGTGCAAAACACACACAGTGAGGAGATTCGTAAAGAAGGCACCTCCCTGAACGACCTCAGAGCTGAGTTATGTTCTCATGGAAGCTGGACCCAGTCAGATGCACATGGTACATACCCATGCTTATGTCACAAAGGACAGGTGTTTTAGGAGATAACGACAAAAGGTAATTTGGCATATCTAAAAAGTGTATATACCTCCCTTCTCCACAAATTTTTTTTCTTTTGGATTAATGATCACACATTAATACTCAATACACTTAATACTTAACTAAAACAGTATCTCACTTTATAGACCAGATACATCCCTGAAGCCATTTCTGGGCAAACATTTTCTTATTTTCTAGTTTTTCTAGTTTCTGAGAGCATCTCAGAATCACTCTTAGTTCTTTTTTGTTATGCTAAATACAGACCAAAGAAAGCAAAGAGGTGAATGGGAAGCGGGGAACTATGTTGATGCATAGACAATAACAGTAGGCTCACAACCAACTGCCTGTTTCTCACCCAGGCACCAAGGAACGAGTCTTACATTTTTGGAAAAAATCCAAATAAATACTGATGAGGTCATATGGTAAATTTATTTCACCATTCCACCAGCTGAATAAAGACAAATTTCCATGTGACAAACCCCTCAAATTAGCAACTCTCTCCAAGCAGCAAGAACGAAAGCTAGCTTTTCCCAGGCATGCGCTCTGTACCAGCACCTTTACACATACCTCCTCACGTGATACCCACGTCCTCACTCGATGTCACAAATGCCAACAGGGAGGCATCACAGCCTCCCCCTAAAGACAAGGGGGGCCTGGGCAGGGATCACTGAGCAGCAGCAATGGATGTAAACCTAGGCTTCCCAATTCTAAAGCCCTCTCCCTCAATCTTCAACCAATTATAATACTGATCAGTTGCTCAGAATCCTCAGATATCAACCTGAACTTCACAATTCTTAGTTTCCAGCATTTCTTAAGAATTCTCAGAGAGCCACCACATATGAGAACAAAATCTATGAGGACATGGTTATGGCTATGAACCATTACAGGCATTGCTGCAATGAATGGGCTGCCCCAAACTTCAAATCCAAGAACAAAGAATAATCCTTAAAGTCACCACATGAAGCCCCATAGTCTGGGCACAAGCAGTCTTACCCTGGTGTTTCCTAACTGCAACAGATGGACTGTGTAATAGGACTTCACGTCCTCTGACAGGAACTTCACATTGAAGCCTGTTTCCTTAAACAGCATCTCCCGGTCATCTTTTGTAGGCCAGTACTGTGCACATTTAACCTAAAGTTAAGAACATAAACATAATGAAACCATAAAAAGCTGGAAAGGAAAACGAACCACACACAAGCTATATATTTTCAAGTACCCAAATCTATCATACTATGTTTGATGTTTAATGTATTTTAATAAGATTGACATCTTATAAATGCAGTTTGTAAAATGTTCTTATAACTTACACACTTAGGAAAACAGATACCATGTTCATAAAATGAAAATCAATTTGTCATTTCTAAAGCAGGATAACCTGTATTTCAACATCAGACTGGTATTCACTCTTATGTTTCTATAAATATCAAACTCATGCAAGAATCGTATCTTCAAACAATACTGAAAGGTTTTGATTTCATAAGTACTTACCATAAGCTATAATAAACCTAGACAGCATATTAAAAAGCAGAGGTATCACTTCACCAACAAAGGTCCATAAAGTCAAAGCTATGGCTTTTCCGGTAGTCATATATGGATGTGAGAGTTGGACCATAAAGAAGGCAGAGCACCAAAGAACTGATGCTTTGGGTGCTGGAGAAGACTTTTGAGAGTCCCTTGGACAGCAAGGAGATCAAACCAAGTCAATTCTAAAGGAAATCAACCCTGAATATTCACTGGAAGAACTGTTGCTAAAGCTTGGGCTACCTAATGCAATGAATCGACTTACTGGACAAGACCCTGATGCTGGGAAAGACTGAGGGCAGGAGGAGAAGGGGGTAATAGAGGATGAGATGGTTGGATGTCATCACTGACTCAAAAGGCATGAATTTGAGCAAACTCTGGGAGACAGTGAAGGACAGAAAAGCCTAGTGTGTTGTAGTCTATGAGGTAGCAAAGAACTGGACATGACTTAGCAACTGATCAATAACATTTTCCATAAATACCTGTTAATCTGCTACTAAATACTATATATCTAGAGATAACATTGCATACTTACATACTAAAAGTCAAGGGAAAGAATCAGAAGATAAGCCCCCTTTACCTAGAAATATGGCACAACTACTGACGTGGACAATAAAAGCATCTCCCCAAAAGCCAAACTGTAAGGCCAGCAGGCTGTGGTGAGGTGAGCTAGAATCACTTCATTGAGAAAAACACTAGGAAAACATCCCTGTAAAATATGGTCATTTCTTTTAGATATCACAAACAGCTACAAATAACAATTAATAGAAATACTTCCAAAACAAATGAATGCTATGAGCTAATACTTCAAAAGCTGCTAAAAGACATTAAAAAAACAAATGACACAAGAAGTGAAAGAGCATGAATTATAACTCATAAATGACGTGACAGAAGAGAAAAAAGAACCAAAAGTAACAGAACACATCATTTCATAAACAAAGATTAATTGATTAAACTAAAGGGAACAGAGCTGTGAATAAACACGACAGATGATGCCTTAAGAGAAAAAGGACATTTTTAAAATAAAAAAGAAATAGAGAGAGACTAGTAGGCAATGAAAATCTAACACATATGTGTAACAGAAGGCCCCGGGAGAAGAACAGTAAGGCATGCAAGGGAACAGAATAAATGTCAAGTATAATTCAATAAAAATTTTTCTTTAAAAGAAAGAAAAATGCCTGAAATCACATAATGAAATAGCACGCTCTGTCCCTGGACAAACTGACCCAGAATGACCAGCACAGACACATTTCAGTACAATCAATGGGATCTGAAGAAAAAAAAATCCTTTGGGTAAAAGAATAAGTAACTAATAGAGGAAATAGAGTAAGATGTGCCTTTGTGACAGGAACATGCCAGAAGGAAATGGGTAATACTGTCAAGTTGCTCAAAAAGCAAATGTGAGCCAGAGATTTTATATTCTGCCAAACAGACTCTTCAGCATCAAGCCAGCAGAGGTACTGTCATCAACACACAAGAAACTGGGACCAGGGCACCCATCTCAGGATCCTGAGTGAGAGCTAGACACAGAGCAACCAGAGAGACTCAACGACAGATGCACATCTACACAAAAGGGACTTAAGACAGACTAAAACGTGGTAAACTCTGATGATGGAGGTAAAGCACAACTTGAGAAAAAGAGGATGAGAGAAAACATTTTAAACTGTTTTCAGTAGTTATTTTAGTGATGGACTTGATTTTCTTATTACAAGTACATTCTGTGTGCAATATAGGACAGAGTAAATGAGTATAAGACATTCAACATCACTAGTGTCTCTGAGAACCAGAATTCATGGTGAATCAATCCTATAGTCCTAAATTTTAATATCAGTATCAAACATCAGAATATCAGTACCCCCCCCCAAAAAGAGGAAGAGGCATCAGATCAGTACGAACACTAGTGTTCTGTTATCTTAACATACAAACATAATTTTCCTTAACTCTGTTCACTGAAAAGACCAACCCAGTAAGAACAAAGATTGCTATTTTTGCTGTGATCTTGAAATACCGCTGCTCACCAAAAGAAACCAAGGCTTCTTAAAGAAACAGTTGATTCACATAGGAAAGATAAGCCTCTAACAGGGAGTCCTTCCAGATATCAAAGGAGCTAGTAAGACTCTTCGGTTTTTTGTTAGAAGAACTCAGGGCCCAACCTGAAAAGCTTCCTCTGGCCAAAGAAGGGACAATTTGACTACCAGTAAGAGTAACAATGGGCTTCCCAGGTGGCTCAGTGGTAAAGAATCCGTCTGCTAAACAGGAGGCAGATCCTTGCATTGATTCCTCAAGATCCCCTGAGGAAGGCATGGCAACCCAGTGCAGTATTCTTGCCTGGGAAATCCCATGGACAGAAGAGCCTGGCAGGCTATAGTACAAAAGGTCGCAAAAGAGTTGTACACGACTTTAGCGACTAAACAACAAGGATAATAACTGCCATGGAGTGAACTGAATCAGGTGTTTAATAAACTCATGACTTCACAGCATTGATCCCCTCCCGCCCCCACACCAAGAAAACCTAAGTGGTCACATATTGAGGATATGTGGGAATCAACTTCCTTTGAAAACTGCTTTTCCTACATCAAGGTGATAGGTAACTAGAGTGGGAGCCTTTTTTTTTTTTCCCCAATAGAAGAATTTCAACCAAAACTCAAGAAGAAACAATAAAGCTGGAATATCACTATGACCCTAATTAATTAAGGAACTGAACACTGACCAGCAGCAGCTGCTGACATCATTATGCTGACACACAGGGTTATTACCACACACGAGGCGACCTAAACGATCAAACCTGACTCTTATTGAACATCTGGATGAAGGTGATTTCTGACTGCTGGTGGCAATTTCTCTTTTTATTACAGTACTTATTCTGCAGAATGAGAGATGAAACCCATAATCCTCCAGCTGACAACGATGCTCAAATGTCCCAACAACAGCACCCGCATCACTTGGGTCTGTTGGTCACTGTGGAAGCATGAAAACCACTGCAAAGACTATGCTGACACTGCAGGACACCATGGTGTGGCAACAACACTGTGGATTGAAACAGACTAGAAGCACCTTCACTACCACTGAAAACCAGCAGCTATTAATTTAGAAAAAAGGAAGAATTCAGGATCTGAAGGAGCAGAACAGCCTGAGACCTCAGGGCTGGAAGAGATCTGACAGATAACACTTTCTAATTTGCATGTTTGACAGAAGAGGACCCTCAAGCCACAGACTCTGAAGACTTAACCACCATCACACCGCTAATTAGCACTGGATTTTAAACTGCATCTCAAATGTCAATAAACCTATACATATCAATACTCACTACCTCCTGACATAAGAGCCAATGGTAGTTTATTAAGGTTTTAGAAACCTGTTACTTCAATTCTTCATAAAATTTCCAGGATTCTGTTAATAATAAATTATAAAAATTCTGATAAAGCCTAGGAATTCCAAATATCTAAATACCACAACTGGCCAGTACTCACTCCATTATACTTATATTTGGAGGGCAGTGGTCCACAGTTGTTATTTAAATATTTAAGGCAATAAAGGAAAATGATAGGTTAGTTCGGGTCAGAATCACCCTGACTCTAGTTTTTAGTAATTAAAGGCCAAAACTAATGGATGACTATCCCAAAAGAAGTAAGAAAATATTTGTAAGTTAACAATCACAGACTGTACAGTAAGTTGTAAATACCAAGTATTACTCACCGATTCTTTCTCCACAGTTCGGTTTAGCATGACAACTGCTTTGGTCTTTTGCTGCCAAACCATGAGCCAGAAATGACAACATGTATTAGGAAGTGGACCCTGTAAGACAGAGAAGAAACAGCAGGTGAGAGGAGCGGTGACTGAGGCTCCAAGGACATGCCTTCCAGGAAGCTTCTCATCTGAGAACAGGGGATTGAATCACAGAATGTCAATCCAGACTCTAAACCCACCTGAACTAAAAGCAGGTCTCTGTTAGTTGGATTACTGATTATCAACGAAAAAAACTGACTTTTATTTACTTAGGCAGAAAAGAAAAATTTCCAGGCCGTCAGGTGGCTCTCTGAATTGAGGGATGGAGAACCAGGCTTGGGCAGGAAAAAAAGTCAAGACAAGATTTTGTCCCAAGGGGTGTGAGTTTGGGGCAGCACTCCCAACCAGTCACCACTGTCACCCTTGGCGGGCGCTGCCATCCTCAGGTGGCTGCAGTGCGTACAGGTTAACAGATTTGACTATACCTTTTTTTTGTTTTTTGGACTATACCTTGAGTAACACAACAAGCAGTCACCTGCGGAATGCCGGGGGCTGGGTCTGCCTGGAGTTTCAGCTCCACACAGAAGACAAGACATTCAAGTGGTGCTGCACTAAAAGCAGCTTCAGGGCCACTTGTATCCCAGCTCTGTAGTGGATGTGCTGGAAATATTACGTGAGCTAATAAACTCCTGCTCTCAATTATACCAATGCTAGAAGGGACCAAGAACCCTGAACTGTTCCCCTTACTGAGTGCATATTATTCAAAGTTTGAGCTACTTCCAAAACGACAGTGCAAAGATAAAAACAGCCATGAGAAGACCCCCAGTAAAATGAATGCCTTCTCTTTCACCTAAAAAAATGGATGGATCAGGTCTCCAATGAAATCACCGCTTAGTGTATACACACACACACACACACACACACACACATTCTAGAGTAGTTCTAAAAGGGAAGAGGGGTTCTCAGCTCTTCCATTTACCAGCAATACAACCTATTATCTTCTACAAAACAGAGATCTATACCAAGGGATCAGCAGGTATACATTTTTAATTTTAGTAAAACTCAGAGAAAAAAGATGACAAAAATTATAAGCAACAAAGGACAAGCAGAACAACTGCAGTTTCAATAAATATTTAGTGTGTCTGGTTTTTGCTGTCCTTTGAAATATTTTCTGTGCACGTTCTCTGTCCCAATGTACTAGGGACAAAGGCAAAAGCAGTTCCAGCTGTCACAGAGCTTACGTCGGAGGTGAGGAATGTGCATTAATTTTTTTAAACACCATCCTTGTAGAGAAGGGGAAACACACCCAGCCCCACCACAGCGAGGGTTGAGCCATACAGTATGCAGGAGCAGGAAGGGTACGAGAGAAGAGCCTTAAAAACAAAGAGGTGCTGACACAACAAGGGGAGAGGGGAGGGATCAGGTCCATTCCCAGTGTCAGGGCACTTCTGGGAAAGAAGGTGACACAGAGAACCCACAGGAAACCACACCTGCCAAGTGAGAGGTGCTCGACCCCAGGAAACAGTCAATGATCTCTTCTTTACAGAATGAAGGAATATGACCAGATTGGTACCTTGCAAAAATTTCTCTAGAGGAAGTGTTAAAGATGGACTAGAAAATAGGGACTAGTGGCCAAGAAATAAGTTGAGAAGCTACTACATTGGTGTAGATGAAAGAGAGCTCCAGAGAAGGGCAGGAAGAATCTGTGACGTCACGTGGTCCCATGGGTAGATGCTGGAAGCTCTGGGGCAGGGGGTGGGGGGACTCAGGAAATAATCGAAAGCTGAAGACAGGCTTGTGAGTCCACTAGAATGAGGGCAGAGGGCCTGGGTCAGGACACAAAGGAATGCCCAAATGGACAGGAGATTTAAACTAGGGTATTAGTCGGGTATTTTCTTTTTCATGAAGGGATTTACAGTGTTTTATAGGATTATTACTATCATTACTACTATAATAAAAGGCAGTAACAATGCCACAATGAACACTCCATGAAGTACTAACCATAGTACCTGGCACTACATGAGTTTTTATTAGCACTATTCTATAGATCACAGAGATACATATTGATAACATACACACTTGGCTCCTGCACAACAGGGGTTTGAACCACAGTGGTCCAGATACAGACAAATTTTTCAATAAACACAGTCAGCCCTTTTAGCCATAGTTAGGCATCCTCAGGATCAACAACCTCAGATGGCAAACTTAATACATGATTGTGACTCAATGAATCTGTGTATGTGGGGCCAGGACAGAAGGGACAACGATGGGACATGAGCACCCGTGGGCTTTGGCATTGCAGAGGGTCCTGGAAGCAAACCCCACGGTGCTGCGGAATGATGCTGCACCTCGGGGAACTGAGGAATGAACCCAAGGGCATATCACAATTTCAGGGCAGCAAATCTGAATAATTAAAAGCTGAACCATCCAGCCTATGGAGACCATGTGGCCTCACCCCACTTGTTGTATGACGTTGGTAAAGTTATTTGATGTTACTTTGTCTCTTCAGATGACTCCTCATATTAACATAAGGATAATAAGAGTATTTACCACAAAGGGTTATCCTGAGGCTTAAGTTATATAAAATACGTAAAAATACAGAAAAATGTTAAAAGTTGCAAGCTGTTAGTATTTACAACAGTCAAAACATGGAAGCCATCTAAGTGTCCATCCACAGAGGAATGATTAAAGAAGATGTGGTACATATATACAATGGAATATTGGTCAGCCATAAACAAATAATGAAATGCCATATGCAGCAATATGAATGGACCTAGAGATTATCAGTCTAAGTAATTCAAAGACAAATATATGATATCACTTATATGTGGATTCTAGACTATGATACAAAAGAATTTATTTACAAAACAGAAACAGACTCACAAACATAGAAGGTAAGCATACTTTTGGTTACCAAAGAGGAAATGGGAGGAGGGATAAATTAGGAGTTTGGGATTAACAGATACACACTACCATATATAAAGTAAATAACAAGAATTTACTGTGTAGCTCAGGGAACTATATTCAACATCTTATAATAACCTACAATGGGAAAGAATCTGAAAAAGAATACATAGAGACGTATGCGTGTATACATGTACAACTGAATCACTTTGCTGCACACTAGTATCTAACACAGTATGGTAAGTCAACTGTAGTTCAGTAAAAAATAAATAAAAGATTGCTAGCTGCTGTAAATTTTACTTCCCTCTAGGATGTGAAGTTCATACTAGCAGTTTTATGAATGGCTGTTTCATTCACACAATGCCGCCACAAAGCAGGCATTCAAAGCTTTGCTGGATGAACGAACAGGATTCAAGAACAGACACCATGAGTCCAGAGTCCAGCCTCTTTCTTAAGAAACAAAGGTTCAAAATATGGTTCCAGAGAGTTGAAGTGGTGAGTACAGACTGGATGGGGGAGAAACCTGAATCAGAATCTTGAGAAACAACTATATTTTTAGAGACTAAGATGAGAAAGAGGAAAGAATAAATAAGACTGAAAAAAAAGAGAATAAGAAAGGGTGTGATAAGGAATCTAGGGTAATTATTCTTTTCTATTTTTAACATTATGGTTTTTAAAAACAGAAAGTAAAAAAATAAATTAATTAATTAAATAAAAACAGAAAGTAAAAATTTTTAACTCTAAAAATGACTATTAAAAACATCATGAATGGACATAAGAAAAACTTCAAATCTAACAGAAAATGGCAAAATGAAGTCTGTATTTTTTCCTCATTCCCAAAAACAATCAGTACTAATAGCATGTGTGCAATTTATTTAGCCAGCTCCTTACAGACTGTTTCTGTCCTACTATTTTTGGCCCTGTGCTATTAACTTATAACAAATACTCTCACATTTACCTTCATGTCTTTACATATTAGACCTCTGAGTACTATAAACTTTTAAATCTGTTTTCTGACAGGTGAGAAGTGGTAAATGATTGCTGGTTTAAATTTAGAAAAACTGAGCACCTTTTCTATATATATTGCCTACCATTACTTCCCTGCTGTGAACTGTGAATTTTTATGTTCCTTGCCAGTTTTTTTCATAATTTCCTTTTTGTTTTTGATTTACAGGAGCTGCTTTACACCAAGTAAAAAAGAGTACTTAATTTTTGTTTCCTGTGAATTATAGATAGCCTAACAGTTGACAGTTACATTCATCTGAATAACTTACCATTTTCAACAGTTTTCACTTTCAGTAACAGGTTATTTTGATCTGAAATGGGTTCTTTAAAAATCTCAAACATTACAAGTATACAGTTTATCTTTTTTTAATTTAATTATAGTTGATTTACAATACTGTGTTAGTTACAGGTATACAACAAAGTGATTCAGTTATACATATATATTTTTTTTTCAGATTACTTTCCATTATAGGTTATAACAAGATACTTAATAATACAGTTTTATCTTTGGAATAATTAAAAATCACTAACTAGGAAATGGCAGCACTGTTAATTAAATCTGTTATCTGATAAACAAAGGGTAGCTGGTGTGGATAAACCCAAATCATTTCTACTATCTCAAGTGAAAGAACAGTGCCAATGCAGCACGGGTGTGGCCAGAATGTTGAGAAGGGAGGAGGCTCAAGGAGACAGTGGGCTCTCAGACCACCCCATCAGTGGTCCAGGCACCTGGCTCACACCCTCACCTAACACCCAAGATTTGTCCATACTGAAAATACACACCAGGCCAGGGCAGAGAAGAGTTTTCGCAGGGCCTCTGGTTCTGATTCAAGTGAAGAAAAGTATAAGGAACAAAGTATCCACCAACCGAGACTTTGTACCAAACTTACAGCAAGGCGGACAGCTGGCCAGGAAAGAACTAGCAGGCCAGACCTCATGAACAACTTTCCTGCAGAGAACGTGTAACAGTAACAGTTGCTTTTATCTTAAATAGACACAGCTGTAAAACATTATAACACCATTCATTACAAAACAACAGAAAAACCTGAAACAGCCATTCCACCGCCAAAAGAAGCCAGGACACACTTTCTGCTCCATCCTAAAGCAGACCCCGGGAATGGCAGTCAGGCCTCCACTCCATGCCATGCCACTTGCCTGGGTTAAGATGTAGCTCCTCTGTGCCTCCTCTATGTCAACTAAGCTGGCATTGATATAATCATTTTCAGCATTCTGCAGTTTAACACGACTGTGATCATCTGAAACAGAAAATGATAAACCATACTGTCATTTCAAACTTGCATTTCTTTTTTATTTGAGTATTAATTTTCTGGATATTTATAAAATGAAAAAAACAAAAATAAATTAGCATCACAATTGAGTCAAATCCAAAATTATTCCTTTTTTTTTTAAAGTTAGTGAAAAGATGAAATCCTTCTGTTTGTTACTGTGTGTTAGAAGGAAGTTGTTGCTGTTGGTGGCAGATTAGCTGCTGTTTAAGTAGAAAAACTGATCAAAGAGTAAAACATACTAAAAGGAATAAAGTACTGATCTTCCCAAAATAGAAAGGATGGTTAAGACTCCTGGTGCTTAAGAACTTACAAGTTTTCCTACAAAAATCAATGGCCTCCAAAAATTAAGACCGGACAGATCCCACCATAACTATGTTTCATTTTCTTCCTACCTCAACAGATCTGCATTCAGCTATATTTCAATAATTTTTATGCTTTTGAACTGTGGTGTTGGAGAAGACTCTTGAGAGTCTCTTGGACTGCAAGGAGATCAAACCAGTCCATCCTAAACGAAATCAGTCCTGAATATTCATTGGAAGGACTGATGCTGAAGCTGAAACTCCAATACTTTGGCCACCTGACGTGAAGAACTGACTCATTGGAAAAGACCCTGATGCTGGGAAAGATTGAAGGCAGGAGGAGAAGGGGATGATAGAGGATAAGATAGCTGGATGGCATCACTGACTAGATGGACATGAGTTTGAGCAAGCTCCGGGAGTTGGTGATGCACAGGGAAGTGCTGCAGTCCATGGGGTCACAAAGAGTCAGACATGACTGAGCGACTGAACTGAACTAATTAGATTAAGTGCTAAGCTATATTTAACACATTTGGAATATTCCAATTCTGTAACAGACAAGTGCTTCATTACTTCGGCTGTGTCATATACTTCTAGTTTTTAAACCTGAAGATCTCACAGATTTAGAATTTGTGCTAATGTAAACAGATGGAGCACAGAACTTTACCTTCTATCACTATGGTAGGAGAGAAGATGCTAAGAGAGGAAGCATGCATGTAACAACAAGATTAGCATTCACTTGGAATATTAAATACATGCCTGGCAGAGTCACAGGACTGAATTACAACCTACGCGCATCTTTGATGTCTAGCTGGAGAACACCTTCTGGTATAAACTGTGCCCCTCAAGGAAATACCAAATAACCATTCTCTTCCCCACTCTTAAACTAAAAGAGTTGTTCATATTATCTCCATATGAAAGAAAATGTTAAACAGTTTTAGTTTCACACATAATTTACATGAAATGTTTCTGCTGGATTGAACCCAAGACCTCTGTAAATATTACATGTCATTGGCCAACAGGAAAAGCGAAGATCTTGTTATAGTAAATCACTTATACTAGTGTTCTCGGAAAGATGATGTCACTTTTTTTTTAAACAGTCACTTTTTTTTTAACAGTCTGATCACTCTTTAACTGTTACATGAGAGAGTAAAAAGAGTAAAAAGTTCAGCTATATAATTAACAAAATAAAGTCCATATGCCTCCCAGATAACACCAATTATAAGAACAATGCATCCCTAAAATTCAAATTCCGCTAAAATATAATCCCAAAGGAATGTGTTTCCTCATGTTGTAATCACAGCAAGAACACAAACGGAGACTAGTCTTATCTATTGCACAAGTGAAGAAGCAATTTGCAAAAGAAGCAAGAATCCATAAACGCCAAGTCTCCCCTCAAAGGGAGTTCCAGCAGGTCATCCAGAACCTTCCATAAGCCAAGAGAAAGACTTCAGGGGGGTTTTTTCAGGACATCTGAGGCCTGCCTTCTGGACTCTGCACTGGATTCACTGTTATTTTCCCTCCTGTATTACTCTACACCTGGTGTCACTCCAGGTCATTAAATACAAGAGTCACATACCCCGAGAAGCACAGATAGGTTCCCCTAAACCTCGGTTCTGATTGGTGGGGAGCAGCAGGACACTACAGAAACAGCACCCCAGAAAGGAAGGAAATTGCTTGGCAAACTAGCCATTTAGAACTGGCTAAAAGTGTTGGCTGAACCTGTTTTTGCCTCAGGACCAATTAAAAAAAACAAAACCCTATACTTACATCATTTTAATTCTTCTGTTCCACTAAAAAAGATTTTTTAATAAAAAATGAAACTCATGTAACTTTTTGATTCAGGAGAGAATCTGTGCAGAGAAAAAAACATGAGTTTCTTGTGTTAAATTAACACTGTCTACAAAGTAAGTATACACATTTCAGGAAGTGAAACTATCAAAGCCTTTTTATGAGGAATTGTGACTCTATGATTTATATATTCTCTAGCAATGGTAACAAAGACAAAGCCTCTTCTCCCCTGAAGACTCACTCACCATGTGGTCTGAAATACCTGTGAGGGTGACACAGGTCCGCTTAAAGCCCGAGCCTGATGTCTCCTCTCCCTGCCCATCAGGTCTGGTCTGCCCCAAATCTGTGAACAGTTCACTCCAAACCAACCTCTGACTTCTCAGGAAAAAACCCGGGAAGTGACCTGCTCTCTCCTCTCCCACAGCAGCTGATTCTGCCTAGGGACCTCTGAGATGAGGCTATCAAAAGCCAGAGTCCAGGGACTTCCTGGGGGTCCAGTGGCTAAGACTCCACACTCCCTAAGCAGGGTTTGACCAGTTTCAACCCTGGTTGGGTGATTAGATCCCGCATGCCGAAACTAAGACCAGTCAAATAAATTTATTTGACAAGTGCAGTCAAATAAATAAACATTAAAAACAACAAAAACTAAACATCGAAAACAATAGACACCCATAGCTTCGGGGCATCAGCAAGGGTCAAGCCCACAGCACCTCCTCCTCATTCTAAGTGTACTTAGAGGGTTACTCCCTCTCCCCAGTCACAGGATCCACCCCAGTACAGGATCCACCAAAAGGAGAAAATGAACATGATTCAAACTGTACTGCATGAGAGGCCACAAAAGCAACCAAACCACACTGCACAGGAAATCTGATTTCTCAACATCTACCACCACCAGCAGCAGGACAACCAAGAACACACACTTTCCTGCACAGCGGCATCATCGTTGGGGACAAAGAAATGCACGCCCCACAGAACCACGGCCCTCAAGCTGGATTAGGCAAACTTCCGATGAAGAGTCCCCAGGCCTCCCACCTCACCGCCTGTTTTCTGAGAAATGGTTCCATCTGTCAAGAAATGACTGGCTCGAGCTGCCTGAGCTGACAACACAGATCAGCTTCCTCTTTCAATACAGCCACAATGAGCTCTTTCTCCCACCCCACCCACCTCCCCACCCACAGTTTCACCCTTTTTCATTACTGTAAAGACATCTCCTTCTGGAAAGTCTTCCAGGTCAAGCTGGGAAGGGCTCCCATTTATGCCGAGGCAGAGATCAGGAATAATTAACAGAAATTGGGCAGAAGACCGATCTCCCCCAAGTCAGGCTCCACTCTCAACTGGGGGTAGCGTTTCCAGTACTGATTTCCAGAGTGCATGGCGATTTCCTGTGGAGGCAGCAAGCATCTGACAGTGTCAGCCCCCTTCAACCCTACAAGGAGAATGCTGTGTGCTGTGCTTAGTTGCTTAGTCATGTCCCACTCTTTGAGACCCCATTCCAGGCAAGAATGCTGGAGTCAGTTGCCATGCCCTCTTCCAGGGGATCTTCCCAACCCAGGGATCAAAGCCAGGCCTCCGACACTGCAGGTGGATTCTTTACTGTCTGAGCCGCCAGGGAAGCCTAAGAACACTGGAGTGGGTAGCCTATCCCTTCACCAGGGGAACTTCCCGACCCAGGAATCAAACCGAGGTCTCCTGCACTGCAGGCAATTCTTTACTAGCTGAGCTACCAGGGAAGCCCACAAGGAGAATTCTGGAGGACAAATAATATGAACTTTCCCTCACAAATCAAGCAGTGAACCAAAATCAGTTTAGTTGTTTCCTCTGCCAAAAGAAAAAAAAAAAACAAACCCTGCTGGCTGAATGGTTCCTTCTCTAATGATATAACCAACCACAGTCTGGACAGGACCCACAGGATACACCTGAACAGCTCACTTCCTCCACCCCCAGCCTCCAAGCTGGGCTGTGAGCATGTCAGTCCCCAAAGCACCCTAGAGAAGCAGCAGCAGAGGCCCAGAGGTGGCCTTGAGCCTCCATCCCTGCGCGGCCTTCCACCCTGCTCCCTGCCTCCACCTCCTGCACACACACACACAGACACCCTCCTGAACTTCTGGCCTAGGACTTCTCCTCTCATGGAAGCCCCACGCCTGCATCCCCTCACCAGACGATCTGCTCTTTATACTGACCACCTTCCACACCCCTCAACACATATGCTGGGAGCCAGGCAACTGGGGCAGAGACATTACGTGTTCCACAGCCTCCAACCACAGGCCAGCTGCCCACGCATGTCCATCTCTCCATCTGCCGTGACTTCAAGTTCCTAAACTTGACAGAACAGTGTTAACTGAACATTCTGCCTTCACACACACCCTCAAACTGAAAAGGGCTCTTGAATTCACCCCCAGAGTCTCTGGGATGGAAACAGGACTTGGGAGGTGTCCTCACAAAATGGGTCAGATTCCCACTGCAGCTCGAACAGGGACACCTTCCCCTCTGACACCACACCGGAGTCTGGCACAGTCGTGAGCAGCCCACCACTTCCCTTGAAACTCAAACTACTTCTCCTCAGAAAAAGAGCCTAAAGTTTGGAAGGGAAAGGGAGTAGGAGAACGAGTATCTTTCCTTTCCACCCACAAACCCAAGAGCACCTGGCAAACCTCTCAGACCAAGTATGCACACCTATATTCCCCAAAGCTCACCTGCTCAGAAAGGGGACAGCAATGAGCAAAACAATCAAGTAAGTTACATGTCACACAGCAATAAATCCTCTGGGAAAAAGAGTCCTGGGAGAAAGAGCACCATAAAAGGGAGCTGCGTTGGGGGGCTGGGGGGGACTGGGATTCTGAACAGGGTGGTCAAAGCGGGCCTCACTGTGCACTGGCACTT